GTACCTTACATCATTGAATCGAATCTTCGAATCTCCACTAGATTTGGGATAGGTCTTCCAAAGAATCCGCAATTCCTTATTTTTCTCTCTAACGATGGATTTTAGAAGAGATGGAATGATTGCGTTTCTTTGGGGACCATGACCCTTTATATAACTGTAGAGTCCAGTTATATTATAATTGTGATTCAGCCCCATCAATAAATCACAATTAAACCCTAATTGTCTCTACACATTAGACCCATAATCATAGTATAATACCCATAAGTCCAACCCATTAATCTTTATTAGATCACAATTAATTTGGACATTCTTTCAGATAGCCATACACATTTACGTCACATATGTGAGCCCACATAATTATTGAAATAATTCCAACAGTAAACAGTAAACGGCAAACACAAACAATAAACAACACTACCACTGGTGCATTTTTTACTCGAGCAATATGACATAGTTTCAAAACACCAAAAACAAAATAAAAGATGTTATAACAAACACCAAAAAGCTAATTTTTGTATAGAAGCAAATTAGTACGTTAAGTACAAAATACTTCAAGATACAACTTTTCTGAACACATTTAATATGGTGTTCTTTGAATTTATGTCGGTTGAAGATGTGAACAAGTGAAACGGGGTTTGAGTGAATATTGTGGGATTCATAGATCTTCTGTAATAACTTGTTCTGTGAGGACTTTGTTTGCAATCTAATTTGCTCTTGTTTTTTCTCATTTGGAAGACGTCGAAGAGTCTTTTAATGCCTTGTTTCTTTTTCTTCTTTGACATAGCTATTTTAGCACACACAAAATAAAACTACATAAGACTTTCAATTGCAAACAATAAATTGCGAAAGTGAACAAAAAATAGTAAATTAAAAACAATAACTGCAATTACAAACAAGGAATTCAAAGTGTAAACAAGTAACTGCAAACAAGAAAATTTCAAATAGAAAATTACGAATAAGAAATTCAAAGTGTAACAAGCAACTGCAAACAAGAAAATGATGGTTCGATTGCAAACAAGTAACAAACTAAAAACAAATAGCAGGCCACATGAACATCCACAAAATAAAGAAAATAAGAACAACTAAATGCATTCCACAAGAACAATAAAAAAACAAAATCACGATGGTTCAACAATGCACAATAAAATGCAAATATCAAATAACAACACGAACGACAACAAATAAACATCAACAACCGGCTGAATAGAAATGCAAACAAGAATGTAAAAAATATGGTAAACAATCATACAAAATATAAATCGAAACCTTTAAAATGTGTGAATTTTTAACTCAGGTCGATGCTCCAATATCAATATTTTTTTCCCCTGAGATAAAAATACCAACAATGGGTCATTAAATCATCATCGAAACATCTAAAAAAATTGGATAAATAAAAAGGAATTAATTACCCGGATTTGTACGTCTCCGCACCATGTTGTTTGACATTGAAGTTCTTCGATTTGGCGTTACGAGGATGACGAACAACAAACAAACAAATCGATCTAGGGTTTTTTATTTCAATTGAAAAACGACAAAACATCAAAGGAACGATAAACAAACAACAAACGAACACAATTTTTTGTTGTTTTCTGCTTTTGCGTTGAAGAAGATGAAAGAAATATAAAATCGTGTTTTGGGATTTGAAGATTTGCAACGATGTTTTCTCGGGAGAAAAAAGTGGGATTGAAACCTCTATAAAATTGACTATTATTTGGAGATTTTTATTTTCCATATTTTATTAGGGGTATTTTAGACACTATAAAAATAATAAATATAATAAAAATAGGGAATTAGTAGTTGGATTTATACATATAAAATCTCTTATAGAAGGACCCCATCCTTTTTGGCTTTTGCAAATGAAAAAAAAAATAGAAATGCAATCTGTTGGATACAAAAACAAAATACACAAAACTAGATTTTAGTTTTTAGAACTAAAATTTTTAGACTTCAACTAAATGCAAACTAAAAAAATTCATTCCTCAAGTTATCTAAACATGATGGACTACATAAATACACAAAATCTGCAGGTTTCGAAGAGACGAAAATTCAAACTCGAAATAGCAAAATACAGACTCATGAATAGCAAAATGCAAACATAAATTTGTACCTGACTCTAAAAAAATAGTAAAAATATAGAATAATCAAACTAACACAATATCAACATCGGTATGTTCTTATTTAATCTGAGTGTTGCTTACCGATACTAATATGTGTTTGAGCCATTGTAGAAAACGCAATCGACAAACGATGTCTTCAAACAACAAACAATCTGAAAAAAAAAAAACAAACAAACAAAAAAAAACAGTCAATATGGTTTCACGAAGCAAACAACAAACGGAAATTGAAAACTGCAAACGATTGAAGGACTCTACCGGCGACCAACGTTATGAATTTTTTTTTCTAGGGTTTGGTATTGTTGAAATCGGTGTTTTGGATGGGGGAATTTCAGAGTTAGGATGCGTCAGATTTGGGAGTGGGGCATTAATTTCGTATTTTTTGGGAGAGAAAAATATGGGATTAAAAGATCCACGAAGTGGGCTATTATTTGAGATTTTTATTTCCAGATATTATTAGGGGTGTTTTTGACACATTATAAATAATTAATTAACTGAAAATTGAAAATTATTAGTTGGATTTATTCACATATAATCTCTTATAGAAGGACCTATAGCAAATTGCCCCTTTAGCAAAATAAGACTTATGACTTAGACTAGGGCCTATATAGTTTTAGAATGGATGATCTATGGAAAATTACCCCTTAAAATAATCAAATTTCAAATAGAATCTCATAGTTTATTAATTAATAACTTATTTACCATATTAATCTCAAAAAAATAAAAAAAACTTACAGCCCAAGTTTGAAATTCAAGAAACGTGTGGAGGTGGACTCATATTTGGAAAATAATTATATAAAAAAAAAACAAAGAATAAAATACTAATATGCGTAAGCGTAACCGAGAAGGATAGGTACTCTTTTCTGACCCTCGGATCAGATTAATCTCATCCGTCCACTCATCACCGACTCTTGTATAAATACCCATCCCCTCCTGCAACCATAATTCATTCCTTTGTCTCTCGTCGTTGTTATTGCTTTGATCGCCTTTGGTTATCTGCGGATTAGAGTTTGGTTCGATTATTGATTCTGTTTATTCGTCGTCTCCGTTTTTCTAGATTATATGTATCATCGTCGCTATGAAACCTGCGCAATTCAATTCAATTCAATCGGCTGCGATTATCCGTCGCATGTTTTTTTTTTCTCTTTTGCTATACCGTCTGATTATTGGTCCTGATTTGGGGTTATTTTGTGATTCGCCGCCGCCGTATATTTGCGAGGCCGTCTGATTGTGATTTGATTTTGATCCGGCTATGCATCTGTAACAACAAATTCTTATCTGCGATATAAACAAACAAGAAAAATTGAACAAAGATGATTTTATTGAATTAAAATAAATAAATTGCGGGTTACAATCTCTATTTTAATCCTCTGATTCTTCTCTCTAGAACAATATATAGTTGACTTGAATTTTCGGAGTCGGGTCGTTGACTTGATCTTCTCCGGATTTGATTTTGGATTTGAATAACGTTTTCCGAGGGTCTTGCGACTTGAATCTCGGATCGAAACGCTGAACTTTGACGGGGTTTGACTTGAAGATCTTGAAGTTCTTGATGAATTTGACCCTTCAATCTTCCTTCGATCTTGATTTGTTGAAGAACGCCCTCGATTTGACGGGCTTTGACTTGAAGATCTTGAAATTCTTGATGGATTTGGCCCTTCAATCTTCCGATGATCTTGACTTGAATTGATTAACGTTAATCCGAAGGTTTGGCACCGTTGTCTCGGATCGAATGCTGGATTTGACGAAGAACGCCTTGAATTTGCTCAAGAACACTTCGAATTTGACGAAGAACACTTTGAATGTAGAGAGAGAATCTTACCTCCTACAAATTCTTCTTCCTTGCTTCTTGAGTTGTAGAGAGAATTTTGCTCCTACGATTTCTGCTCCTTCAGTTGTGTTTGAATTGTGAAGGGAGGATCCCTATTTATAGTGGTAGAATAAGAGTCCTTGATGGGCCTTACTGATGATGTGGCGCGATTTGATTGGCCCGATTTAAATTGATACTTATCTCTTGTAACTTGGAAGAGAAGAAACAATTCTATTGGTCAATAATTAATTGATATTTATCCCTTATAATTTGGAAGAGAATAAATAATTCTACTGGTAAATATATATTTAAAATCAATTATCTATTTAATTTAGGAATTAATTTAATTAAATCCCTAGATTTAAAATAGAAAATATGTAATTGATTTTAAATATAGATACCAATATACGGCATATAATCTTGATTTGATTTGAATTTAAATATTTAATTACGGAATTGCCATGGGCTATAGAATTCAAATAGAATTCCTTGTTTCGTAATTGCACAATGGTCCCTTTCTTTTGGATAAAATTTATTTATCTACAAATGCCCCCACGAGACTTGTTCACGGACGATGCGTTTTGAAGTGAATAAGTCACGAATATATCAGGTTGATTAGTAAATATATTTGGAGCTTTTCATGAATATAGTCCACGTGCATCCGGTCTCCGGGCTTTCACTTCAAAAGTTATATATACATGGACCAAATTTTTCTTTCCACTTTATTTCATTAATTGATTTAGCCCACCAAAAATTCTCTAGGCCCAACATGACTTCTCACTTAATTGCAATTGAGAGTTTTGACCGAGAAGAAGTTTGTGAAAATCCCACCACCACATCACAAACTTCTTTT